CTCCCATGGATGCCGTTTTTGCCCAGTCTCTCTTATTATTGAATCATGAACACTGACCTTAATTGAGGCAAGTGAGGCCTGCAGTTCTTTAGATGTTGTTCTGGGTTCTTTTATGACCTCCTGGATGAGTCGTCGTTGCGCTCTTGGAGTAATTTTGGTAGGCTGGCCACTCCTGAGAAGGTTCACCACTGTTCCAAGCTTTCTTCCTTTGTGGATAATGGCTCTGACCGTGGTTCGCTGGTGTCCCAAAGCCTTAGAAATGGCTTCATAACCCTTTCCAGGCTGATACATGTCAACTATTCTGTTTCTTGTCTGTTCTTGAATTTCTTTAGATCGCGGCATGATGTGTTGCTCTTTAAGCATGCTTCACTTTGTCAGACAGGTTCTATTTAAGTGATTTCTTGATTCAACAGGTCTGGCAGTAATCAGGCCTGGGTGTGGCTAGTGAAATTTAACTCAGTTTTCTAAAATAATGTGGTTAATCACAGTTCTTTCATGATTTAAGAGGAGGGGCAAATAATTTTTCACGTAGGGCCAGGTAGGTTTGGACAGCTTTTTTCCCTTAATAAATTAAATTATCATTTAAAAACAGCATTTTGTATTTACTTGCATTATCTTTGCGTAATATTAAAATTGGTTTGATGATCTGAATCTTTTAAGTGTGACAAATATGCAAAAAAATAAAAAAACAGGATGGGGGCAAAAACTTTTTCACGGCACTGTATATATATGTATTCCAAGTCTAATAAGGTCATATGAAAGCTTTGCATGAGAAACAAGCCTAAATTCATTATTTATTCACTACTAAAGTCATTATTCACTGATAATCTTTCCCTCCAGTGAGCTGTTGAGTAAACATCCGCTGCGACTAAATCATTGAGTCAATGAGTTGACCAGAGAACCGTGTAAGTCTGATTCATGAACACATCTGTAAACCAAATCAGTAAGTTCACGAGTCATTTATCACAAGGAAACACCCAAATATGCTGACTTCCCTACTGTAGTATGTGAAAAACAGGATGCCAAAAGAGGATTATGTCTGAATTCATTGTATTCAAAACAGAGGCGAAAAATGTCCTACCATTACAACTTTTTATCATACGTATGACTTCAGAAAACTTGGAATATAATGCACAATTCATATAGACAATGTTTTATGGTACATTTATAGTGGGTTTTTTGTCTTGTCAGGTGTGGAATGACATGAGGGTGAGTAAAGTTTTTTTTTTTTTTGGTGATTATTATCCAGAGCCCTTCTTGTTACTCCATCCGAGATCACCTGCTCTATGCCCAGCATATTTAGCCCATGCCCGTGACAGGGAGTACCTGTAGTGCGAAGATTTCTGTCTGCTCTTTATTGCAGTTCCACCGCACATTATGCAATTTAAGTAGCCTGCAATTGAACACGTAGGATGTCAGCTGTGAAACCAACCTGTCGATACCAAACTCGTATTCCCCACTTAGTGAGTGAGATTACCCAGCTGATTGGAAAATCAACAGGAGGAAATGACATTGGCTTTATTGGTTATTTCTTAATGCTTGCCTTTAAGTCTATTGATTGTGCCATAAGAACGTCTCAGCTGTTTCTGCACATTATGTTGAACAGATTAAGCAGGACTCAAGCCATATTGTGTCTGATGTTTTTCCTCTTTTTTTATCTCAAATAAAAAAACAGTGGAGAAAATTGAAATATTTATTTATTTTGCCTGATTTGAGCTAAAAAAATGGATTAACTTTATTTTATAGATTTTTTGACAAATGTTACTAAGAAGTCCACTTGACAAGCACTTTTAGAGATTGTAGTCTTTCCTGGGAATGTTGCCAAGATGATGACAGAGTGAACTGACTTCATTTTCAAGAATTCTTTTTTTTTTGTTGTTGTTGTGAAATCCAGGATTTCGTCATGTGTATATTAGTTTTTGTTGACCTCTGCTCTTTCGTTTTCAGATTAGAAGAACGCTGGTCCCTGTGACTTCAGTAAGAGAGAGAGTCTGAGGCCAGCTTCAGCAGCAAGCTACCTTGAGTTAAAGGTTAGTCTTTGTCCTGTTGCTTCAAAGACCAGATGCGAGCACACACACAGACACGCATGCATCCGTTTGGTTTCATTAGAAATGCCAGGGGGCTGGAGAGGTTCCCTGTCCATTCACAGCCAAACACCTGCAAGGCTTTCATCCCCTATCTGTCCACTCAGCCTTTATCACCTGCCACCCAGTCAACCACAGCACAGACACACACGCACGGCATCTGAACAAACCATACACACCAGACATGCCTCTCGCACTGCTAATTCACACCGCCGCATGGCACACACAAGTCAAAATACCACACAAAACTTCTGTGCACAGCCCCACACAGCAAGTGTTCACACATTTTGCTGAAAAGGCCATCTTAGACCAGAATGAATTTTCACAGTGTCTTAACCAAGCGTGATGCAGCAAGGCGGCAAACAATAAAATTTATTTCATGTTAAACGAAACCAAAAATTTGGAATATGTTGAGCTAAAACACTTTAAATAATGTATAGGCTTCAACATTTTTAAAAATGATATTTCCTGACAAATATCACCATTAATCTTCATTTATTTTCCATGTTAAACTTTCTGATATTCAGGTGCTTAAAGTTTTTTTGGCTAATGTTTGGCTAAGACAAAATTATTTTCTCATTCTTTTGACAAATACTTTAGGGTCTGTAAAGAACATTATAAAAAGCAATAGAAGATTCTTGAGAAGCACCATCAAAGTCATTGAAATATGACGTTGTGACTGGTAAGGACACATAACCATGCTCTTGACCAGCTGAGCTCAATTGACCAAGCTAGTCAAGCCATGTCCCCTAAACATATTCTGGTGACTGGTCTTTTCAGCAGTGCTCACACCAAGAGCTCCACCTGGTTCAAATACCTCATTTTGAGTCACTGAGGAAATCAATACATGCTCCAAATAATATAAAAACAGTGTGCTCTACCTCTGTCAATCTGTCATTCTCATTCAATATGTCAATTGCAAAGGCTGCAACTCTGCAGTTTCTAAGCAGCCTATTTACTCTCATGTGGAAGGTGCCAAAGTGAAAAGGTTTGTGTGACTTAGCTATCCGTTTCCCCTTCATGGGTTAAAGAGTTTGACTAATGCAATATTGATTTCGCTCTCTGGATGGAGAAGACACAAACGGGAATGCATCTGTTCAGACCAACTTAAACATGTGTATGTCGTCAATGCTTTTTTGTTGTTGTTGTTGTTTGTTTTTTGCAGATAATTTTTTTCATTTCTCTACAAAGAAAACTGGCCAACCAATAAGATGCAGCTGTAACATAAGACTATAGCTTCACAAACAAACTATTTTGCTCAGCATCAATGAATAGCAGAGGAAGAATCCCTAACCAGCTCTTTTGCCTCTGTATTCTTGTATTTTGTGTTATTTGATGAACACCATAGAAAATACTAAAATCTAAATGGCTGTTTGATAACAGGTAAATTCTATTTGACTTTCTATGATCTGCGCATGTCAGAAATGGAAAATTGCACTGCACATTTTTTTAAGCGCCACCTACTGTTAGAGAGTGAATTTGCATTTTCATTCAGCCTGTCTTCCATTTTTTGCATTGGTTTAAACAGACAAATAACATGCAAAAATTGGATCAGCTTTTCATGCCAAACACTGGTGTTGAACTAAGTAAATGGGGTCAATTTTGATTTCATGCGGACTTCAGCAAAAGGCAAGTGTTATTGATCTTTTCAGCAATGACCTACTTGCATGTTTAAGGACGTTTTCCCATTATGAAGGTTTCCGCACATGACTGCTGTGTTTTACAAGGAATCTATTGATGTCCCATTGCTGTGGGACAGGGCAATTCGTTTAGGTGTTGTGATGTATTACCAAGGCCCGACTGTGTTGTTGGGTCATTAGTTTACTTAATACTGGATCCTGGGGAGTGCTAAAATACTGTGTTCTCTCACACATCCATCGCCTGCTGCGTGCATGTGTGTGCGCTACCATCCACTATTTTTCCTTTTCTTCTGCAAAAGCCTCTGAGAAAATGGAAAACCAATGTATGCTATGATGACTTAAGTTTAGGAGTGGACTTTAACCTGGTAGCTTTAATCATCGCGGACTAACAGGCAATTAAGTACATGACATGCATTTTATTAATACCGTCAGGCAAAGAGAACAGAGGCGATTCCATTCCAACACCTAGTTCACTGCTTTGGAAAAGCCATTTTATAGTGGAAGTTCATGTGAAGATGGATGAATATTGCTAGTGTTAAAAGCCCAAACTTTCAACACAATTTTTTTTTTAAGCTGCTTTATTCAAACGCACTCAAAAAGGAAAATATTTTTTCTTTATCTAAACCTCATGTTATTCCAAATGTTTACCTCTTATGTAACTCTCAAAATCAATCAGTGACATCAAATAGCATTAATTTTTCTGTGCAGTGAGTGCTACAGCTGAGGGGAAGATTACCAGTGGAAAACTTCCTTTTTTTTTTTTTAGTTAAACTGTCAAAATGTCTAGTTGTCTTGTAGAAAACGTTTGGACTTAGTGGTACTTATATGATCCTTTTTAGGTTTGACAGTCCCTGGTCATTGAATAGTCTTGTTGGAAAACAGCTACATTCTTTAGAATTTATCCTTTTGTCTTCCGCGGAGGGGGGAAAAAGTCATGAATGATATATATGACAGTAAGCTGCATAAATTATTTTCTCATTGTAGTAAATAATCAATACTGATTCAAGTAAACTTTTATTATATTCACTACTGATGAACATTTTGGGGTCAGTCTTTTTTTCCCTCAAAAAATAACTGTTTTCAACATTGATATTACTTAGAAATGTTTCTTGATCACAACATATTACAATGAGTTTAGAATATTAGCATATAAGATAAGTAATAGTTGATTTGCTTTGTTATCATTGGAATAAATTACAATTTTAAATATATGAAAATAGAAAACAGTTATTTTAAATGGTAATAATATTTCACAAAATTACTGTTTTTACCGTATTTCCGCTAATACAGCATCAACTATAAATGCAGCCATGGTGAGCATACAAGACTGATTTTTAAAAACATTTTGAACATTAGTGTTTTTTCTCCCCCAACTTCCTATGCTACAATTACAGATGTATTTTTGTGTGGGTTGCGCTCTATTTGTTTGCTTTGATGTAACTGTATGCGCATTTCAGACCCATTATACCTAGAGACCTTCAGTCCTCAAACACTTGAGTGGACGTCACTCTTGAGGAATGTTTTCAGATCAATTGACTTCTAGGCTACTGTTGATGTAACTCCAGAAGTCACAATTACAGCATGAGGGGGCTGATTCTAATGCGCAGCTTCATTACTTGGAAGGGATTTAACCGGATGGTGCAACAGTTGTATGCATGATAATTGAATTATCAGACTCTTGACAAACACATTTAATGAGTGCTCTCCAAAGCCGACCTGATCCTAGGCCCAATCCACAGCGCTGATCCTGTAGAGACCCACACACATATTGCCTCACCTGTCCAGACCGAGTATGCCGAGTTATTGTGCTTGATAATTGGATCAGTGACATGACACCTTTTTTAATTTCCAGATATTTTTAATTATTCAGAAATACATCAAAATGCAATTCATAGCTACAATGACTTGTATAACCCTCTTCTACGATGAGCATTATTTATTTTTTTACATTTCTGAATTTATGTTCATTTTATTCTTTTTTGGGAAGACATAAGTTATGCGGTTCAACCAACATGCAGAAAAAAACACAACACAGGAAATGACCCCTGCAGACCCTCATAAAAGTGTGTAATACCATTAATACGTTTCTTAAAATTTGTTTTCATGACAAGGCTAGGCTTAAGCATTTTTGAAAATGCAGTAGAAGTTTTCAAAACCATTTGAAACCGACCTGAATAAAACTGCACGTTTGAAATTATATTTTATTTTGTATATTGTGTTGGTTTATTTGTCATTGACCTATAAAGAGTATAAAATTGTGTAGTACATATAAGAGTGGGCCGCTTTGTATGAGTGTATATGAACAAGAGCCTTTATTTGCAATATGATTATGGAGTTCCCCTTGGTGTGAGGTCATCGGGGTCAAATTGGAGCGATGAAAAAGACTTAATTGCTCACCCTGAGTGGATTGGTCAATGAGGCGGCTCTTGTAGATGTTAAATCACAGCAGTTCACTCCAACTCTCTGATGTCTCCATTAAATTGATCCCAGTGGGACCGACTCCCTCAGTCTTCCTCGCTAACATGGAGAGCAGCACAGGTGTTTACCAGATGCTGCCGGACAAAGGAATCCTACTACATCTAGATCTTTGAAGAACTATGCTTTCATCTACAGTTATTAGCTTTGTGTTGGAATAAATCCTGAACAGCAACACTTACTTTCCATATACTAAAATTCAAACTGGCCTTGTTGACAAGCATGAAACCAGGATGGGCAATTAAAAAATGGCAGCATCTGGGTTTACACATCTCCAACCTACCCAGACTATATCTGCATAAATTAAGTAAAGGACCCAAGGATTGGAAGTGCAGAGTATGATTACAATGGACATCCTGGACGTCTCCTCTCTCACACTTCATTATCATCCCAACTTCATTAACTTCATTAACATCTGCAGCGTGCCCTCCTCTCCTGTCAGAAACAATGGCCTCCACAGGTGTCAGGAGGAGAAGAGAGGGGGTGTGTGCACATTTTTGGGTGTTTGCATCTAGTTTGGTAGCTTTCGCCAGCGACCACTCTGAAATGAACACCTGCGTTCATTGAAGAAAACATGGAGGGTGCCCAGGCATCCACAGAATGACAGAAAGAGACAGTGAGGAGATGATGAAAATAAAGTTGTTTCGCTTGAGTCTGGCAGATTGATGCTCCTGGCAAATGGGAAGCATAATTAAACTATCAGAAGTAATTAAGAGAGGTTTATTTGCCTAAAATGCATTTAAAATCTCCTGCATATATCTGCACCAGATCCGAATGCAAACACACTCTATCAATTCAGCTCATTTTAAACTGATTATAATTGTGTTGGAT